CTCGTTTGAGGAGGGAGACTTCCCTGTCCCTGCAGTGCAGAGGGGGACCAGAGTGGTAGCCTGGGACCCCAGCACTCTGGGCTGAATAGCCAGGTAGGGATTCAGACTGTCATTCACTCGACACCTTGTGAGTGAGCACATGCTACATGCCAGGTATCAGCTACACAGCTGTGAACAACGCAGATAGAAAGCTTTGCCCTCACGGACCTGACATTTCGAGGCGATGAGGGGAAGAGACAGGCAAATAAACTGAAAAATGGGTTTGTTAAAAGATTCTATGAATAAAAATACAACGGAGAAGCTGGCCGCAGGGTTTATTACTGGCCACTTGGGTCCATTTGCTCAGATTATTTTGCTCGCCACTCACCAAATCAAAGGCCATTTATTGTGGTAAAAAGAAAAAGAGACATTTGTCAAAGCTGGCTCTGAGGAGATGGCAGGGCCTCACTGGCCTCAGATCACCATCTCTCCACATCCAGGTGTGTCAGGAACAGTGGGGCTGGGGTTATGATGACATAACAGGCACACCTCGGGTTCATTCCTCCTCCTGCACCCTAACATCTGCATATTATCGGGGTGAGAGCACGGGGCTCTGCCTCAGGCCTGAGGGAGTTTGGAGAAGACACTTGTCTCTCAAGGAAAACAATTCTAACTTCCAAAGTTCCACTTTGCCAGGCCGATCACAGGTTACTCTTCCCCTGCCCACCCGGGGCCTGGCACTCAGCTGGTCCCTGACCTGACTGACCCCCAGGCAGCTCTTGGGGCCAGGTCTGATCCCCAGCCCCAGCACAGCTGGTCGGAGCTGCTGGAATGAAAAGACCCTGGAATCCCCCCACTCTAGCGGCAGGAGCGTCCCAGGCATCCAGAAGTGTCTTCTCCCCAAGACTTTCCCTCGCTTCCCCTACACACTGGCTGGCTGAGCCCAGCTGTTCAGATCTGTGCCGTCCTGTGGGGAGACCCGTGAAGGCACAGACTGTGAGCAGAACAGACAGTGGGCCCGGAGGAGGGGAGGAGACCTTCTCGGGGCTCTGTCCTGTGCGCCCTGGCTACTGAGAAGCACCCCGGCTCTGCCCATGAGATGCCAATGGGACTCCAGGCACGGCCAGATGGCTGTCACATCGAGAACCACTGGTCTTACTTAGTATACCTCCATGTAGGGCTGGGGATGTAGCTCAGGGGTTCCATCGCCTGCCTCACAAGTGCAAGGTCCCAAGTTCAATCCCCAGTACCAAAAAAAAAAACTACGAAGTCTCCCTCCATGTCTTTGACAGGAAGCACGGGTTTTGTGTTGTTGTTTGGAACCTTGATTAACATCACCTGGACCCTGTGCGCTTCTGCACACTGGACCCCGCCCAGGCTCCCCACCCCAAGCCTGGGGCTCTGGGACCTGCCCACGCTGTGTGTCGAGGAGACCAGTAAAACCCAGGCCCGGGCCCTGCCTCACACGCTCTGTTTTACTTCCGGGGTCTGGAAAGCCTTTCCCACCTGTGCTCACCAGGCGCGCTGGTTCACTCTTCGGGATGCCACCTGCCATCATCTCAGGGACAAAGCTCCCCGGGCAGGGCTGAGTGGCTGCTCCATGCCTGGGCCCCCTCGCCCCTGACTCTGCTGCCTCTGCAAAGTGGAGACCCCATCTCTCCATCTCCAGGTGCAGACACAGCATCTGGCACAGGGGAGGAGCTCAGTGAAAGTCCAGATGAAACGCAAAGTAAACTGGACACAAAGAGAGAGGAGAGAGGCTCAGGCCTGGAGGTGGGAAGGAGGTGGAGAGAGGTGTCTGCTGTGCTGACACAGGAAGAGGCAATTCAGAGGCCTCCCCTCCTGCCTTCCCCCTGTGGGGTAAATACTTGGAGCTGCCTTAACCTTTAACCTGAATTGTCTCACTTTGCAACGCTTTCATCCTCCTCTTCCTCCCAGCATCCCTCCCTCCCCTCTCACCTTCTCTGGAGACTGCCTTTGTGTTTAGTACTTGGGTTCTGAGCAGTGGGAACCCAGCCCAGGTCACCGAGAGAGCAGAGTGAGAGAGCCTGGCTTCCTCCTAATTAGCCTGATGATTCCACAACTCCCTGAGCTTGGGGTCCCCAGCCTCGGGCGTGGAGAGAAGCCCTGCCTCTGGACACCCACAAGTGAATTTCCCAGGGAAGCAGTGGAGAGACTAATTGATGATTATGCTAATTCCTTCCTTTCCTGTGGCAAGGTTGGCTCCACAGGGAAGCCAGCCTCTCTCTGGGTGAGGGCTGCGGGGTGGGCAGGAACGAGGGGCCAGATTGTGAGGGGCCTCAGGGACCAACCTGGCCAGGCCCACACTCAGTCGTTCCCTTGACTGAGGGGACAGCACTCGGGCTCTAGGGTTCTTCCTCCTTGACAGTCCTATCAGGGACATCACCTCCACTCCACAGACCCCCGACCTGAGAGGAAATGCCCACAGAGGGGCTATTTCCTGTGGTCTCCTAGGGAGGAAGGGGGCTTCCAGCCTAGATCTTGTGTCTCTCCAGCCAGATGTTTCCCACCACCGGAAGACGGTGCCATCTCGGGTATGTGGTATTTGGGCAAAACCCTTTAGCAGCTCTGAAATCATGTGCCGCAGGCCTGGGATGGCACAGGACAGACTATGGCTGCTGGACTGTAGCATCCTGGCAGGCCTGTTGGTCCCCCTGGTTGGCAACACCAGTGACCTGGGGCTGGGTCAACATAGAGTTTAATGACAGCATCCTCGGGCTCCAGGACCTGGCTTGTCCCTTGTCCATGTCCTTTGCCCAGTTCCGCTGTGGGCATGTGGAGGCAGCTCAGACATCAGTGATGGCTTCATTGCCTCGGTGCCCAGCCTGCCTCCTCCAAAGGAAGTCCTCCTCCTCCTGCCTCCTCCTGCACACCTTCTGGGCCCTGCCCAGGAAACGGGGAGTGAGCTGCCTGGGGAGAACGCAGTGACAGAGATACTTGGTTACATCTGAACAACCCCGGTGGCAGCTGGTTTGTGACCAGGGCTTTCCCTGGGAGCCTGCAATTTGCAGAATGAATTTAATGGATCTAGGCTCGACCCTGGTTCTGTTGTGCCCCCAGTGGTGGCTGTGGAGAAGTCACCCAGACTTGCTCAGTCTGTTTCTGCAAGAAGCTGGAATGCCTGGGAGGGGACACAGAAACCCTGGGGAGGTGGTCATCCAGCCAACGGGAGGCACATGGCACTGAGTGCACTTGGTGACAGCAGCAGCCAGGTCATTTCACAGACAAGAAAGAAGACCAAGATACGAAGAGACTGCCTGAGGCTGCCCAGCTCCGAGATGGTAGAGCCGGGATTTGAACCCAGCTCTCTACCCCCATGGCCCCATGGTCCAGCTCCCCTCCCCTCCACTGTGCTGCCTGAAGGCCAGGATCTGTCCCAGCTGGGCCGGAGAGGCTGAGGCCGTAATCTTCCTGTGACCTCCCTGGGAGTCTACTCCTCATCTGTGAAGTGGCCACAGCAGCTCCAGGCAGATGCAATGCCACAGGCCTGGTGGCCCCTGGTAGGGACAAGGAGACACTTTGTAAACAGGATTTTACCTCCCTGCCTCTACCTCCAGCCAAATAGTTGAGGTGGTTCAATGACAAGTGTCTATTAAGGAGAAATTTATGATACTTCAGGATGAGTCACCAATAACCCGCTTGGTGAGGGTTGGGGGAGGGTCTGCCATAGAAAGTGTCTTGGACACAGCCAGGCCTAGCGGTTAGGACGGGGCAAGCACACGGGACTCAGGCCGCACAGCAGGCTGCCTGGTAGGTGGGCACGAGGCCCGGAGTTGGCAAGGGAGGAGCCAGTCTCCTTCCCCAGGGCTGTGCACACAGACAGCCAGTTTGCAAACAACTCCAGGATAGCCACATCGCCAAAGCAGCCTCTGAGCGGTGACTGTGGTGTCCACCAGTGTCACTATCTGTGACTCTCACCCTGCCACCCCGGCAGGAGAGCCCATCTGGCTGTTGCTCAGATGCTACTGATTTAATCTTGATTCAGACATCGATTCACTGCCCCCGCCCCGAGTGGCACAGGAGCACATGCGTTGGGCGGGAGCGAGGCCTTCGGAGTCCTGCCGTTTCACCAGAGCTTTGGGCGTCAGTGGCCTCCCTTAGACTCTGATAAAAGTTGTGAACTAGAAAAATGCATGAACTTACCGAGCAGCTCTCACTGCATGCCAGGCGGCTCTCAGTCCCTGTGACTCCTCATGGGACCTGGGTTTAGCACTCGAGGTGGGACAATGACCCCCAAGGGAGAGCGGGCAGAGGAAGCTTTGCCAGCAGACACCATGGCCATTCCCGTGTGGCCCGTTCCTGTGAGGCATCTAGTGGGCCTGGACCCAGCATGGTGGTACTGGTCTCAGTGGCCATGCCCTTTCTGCTGGGTGCTGTGACAAAACACACAGTGTGTGCTTCTGATGGGCCAGCACTCGGGGTGACAGGAAGGCAGGAGTTTGTAACCTGGGAGATTAATGAAAAACTCCAAGTAAATTACAGACCTCCCAATGCCCTGGCTGCTCCAAAAACACCAGCAGCCAGGTGTCACCGCCTGTCCAGGCGGGTGATAGCTGGGAGAGTCTTCTCTGGACAGAATGAGCTCACCCCCATTCTCCACTCTGAGGAAAAGACTCCCCAAAATGTTATTAGAGGATTCTCAGTCAAAGAGCCTTGGTACTGTGGCACACACCAAACTATAAGCCTGCCTTTCTCTCAAGCAGAAAAAAACATTTAAAAGAAGAAGGAGAAGGAGGAGAAGGAGAAAGAGAAGAACATATAAATTAGTAACTTTGGGAAAAAATGATACAAAAATAGATTTCTAAGAAAAAGAAACAATAGAAAAGAAAGCTCTTTAGAACCTAAAATACAACTAACACAGAAAGTCTCAATAGGAGATATCCAGCACATTTGGCTAGAAAAAAAGAAGATTCACACCAGAACACACTAGTATCAAATTTTAGAACCAAAGGATTTAAAAAAAAAAAAATCTAGAAAGCTCCAGAAAGACACTCAATAGACACAGGAATGGAAACTGGAAGGGCATCAAAGTTCTCACCAGAAACCCTGAACGGAATACCATGGAGAAATAGAAATGCCTTCAGGATCTGGAGGTAAATGATTTTATACCAAACAATCAGCCAAAGGTGAAGGGAAAATAAAAACACTTTCAGACAGGCAAGAGTCAAAACTCAGAATCATGAAAGAAGAAGCCACAGCCTCTGGATTAGGGACCCCAGCCCAAGAAAAGGGCAAAGGGGGTCTCAGAGCAGACCGGAGAGGAGGAAACCAGACCGAGCCCACCTGGACAGAAGGGGGGACCGGGCGAGAAGAGCCCGTAGAGGGAGTGGCCTGTGTGAATAATGACAGACATTGCCAGACCTCTGGCAGATCCTGCAAAGAGACCGGGACAAATCGCAGTAAGTAGAGAAAGCTAACAAATAAGAAGGGGGCGGAGATCATTTATTTTGGGGGAAAACTGAGAGGTGGCATTTAGATGAAATCCAGACTAAAGAGCAGAAAACAGCAGCTGCTGAGTCACAAGGCCGCTTCTCAGGAGCAGCACAGAGGGGGGCGGTGCTGGCTGCTGAGTTTCTCGGTGCCTCTGAGCCTCTGTGATTCTTTCTCCCCGTGCTGGGGGCAGAACCCAGGGTCTCACTCATGTTAAGCACGGACTCTACAGCTCAGCCGCACCCCACAGTGGCCCTTTAGGTTTTTTGGCCAGAAGTGTGTGTCCTTTTAGTAAAATAGGCACGAATTTTTACCCAAAACTGTGCACAGGCTCTAGGGTTAAGAGGGCCTGGGTTCAGCAGCAAGCCTGGGCCAGGCCACCAACTTGCTGAACAACAATTTCCTTATCTGCTTTGCTCCACTGGGCTGAGGATTAAACATAATTTTTCTGAAAAGGGGCTGTCATGGGATAAGTGCTTAATAAACTACAGCTATGATGGTTTTTAAGAAATTTTTGAGGAATTCTGTGGTAAAGAATCAAAGCAAACTCCACCGTACTAGGTTTGTGGGGAGTTAAGAAAGCCTGATTTAAAAAAAGAAAGACAGAGAGGGAAAGCCTGGTTAAAAGCCGCCTTTTAAGGGAAACGTGGATAAATACACTGTGGAGTATTATTCAGCCGTAAAAAAAGAATGACCTTTTTTTCACCTGCAGGAGAATGGATAGACCTGAGGGCCACCATGTTGAGTGAAATAAGTCAGACTTAGAAAGACAAATGTCACATGTTCTTCCTAATATGTGGAATCTAAAACAGATGACAAAAAAGTAGAAGAGGGGCCGGGGATTTAGCTCAGTGGTTCCACTGCCTGACTTGCAAGTGCAAAGACCCGAGTTCGACCTCTGGTACCAAAAAAACCCCAACCAAACAAAAAAGAAAGTAGAAGTGAAACTTACTAGACAAGGGGGAGGGGTGTAAGGGCAGGCAATGGGGGAATGAATATGATCAAAATAATTATACACATTGAACCCCCCAAAATGTGAAACTAGGGGTGAAGGTGGGGCAGGGAAAATAGGAGAAATGATTAAAGTGTGTTATGTGCCTGGGCAAATTTGCTAACATGAAATTCATTTATCTGTGTAGCCAACATGCACTGACTTTAAAATGTAAGGGAAAAAGCCACCTGGTACTTGTCAGTAAGCTCTCCAGCTGTTGCTCAGCTGCAGGTGTTCTGCAGTCCCCCAGCCCATTCCCTCAACATCTGGGTTATCAGTGGTGGCACTGGTGGCTTTACCAGAAGGGGGTGTGGGACAGTGGCTTTTCACATAAAGGCCTCATTCATCCCCAAATGCAAGCCTGTGGCTCTTCCCTCTGACACAAGCTCCCTCTGGGAGGGGCCTGAGCCACTCGGAGAAGCAGTGTGCCTCCCCGCCAAAATAAGGTAGAGGGATGATCAAAATATACTGTGAATCCTTAAATTAAAACATGTATTACAGTAAAAGACACATGGCCACAAATGGCCCTCAAAATCCTCATCCCCCTTCAAACATCATCCTGTCTTTCTTGCCACTTTCTGAAGTAGTTCTAGAAGTCCTCTTTGTTGAAAGGACAACCTATCTATTTAAATAACTGTATATGCAGTGTTATACAAAAAAAATATGGTGAATGCTGCTGCCAAGTACCATCCAACAGAAAGGCAGCTCATGAAAACATGATGCTGTGTCCTCATCCACCTTAGTCACAGCGTCTGGCACTGTGTGGCTTCTGGCTCTTCCCTAAAGTCAAAATGGCCATTGTGTTAGTTACTTTTCTCTCATTGCTGAGACCAAATACCTGAGCTCAAAGTTAAAGGGGAAAGGTTTATTTGGCTTACAGTTCATGGAGGTTTCAGTCCATAATCAGCTGGCTCCAAGGCAGGGATGGCAAACAGGCATCGCAGAGGAGAAACAACATGGCACACACAAGGTAGCAAAGGTAACAGGGACCTTAACAGCACCTTCTTGCCCCTTTTGTCTTATTCAGACCACTTAGGGCGGGCAGCACTGACGCCCTTAATCCTAGTGCCCTGGGCCCTAGCCCCACCATGAGCCAATCAGACGCTGTAGATTCAGCCACCTCCGAGAAAGCATGAAGCTTTGGGGGACATCTAGACGCAGCCCTAACGAGTAAGAAAGGTAAATGCTTTGGATCCATTCAGAACATGCCAGCACAGCACTCAAGAAAGAGGACTTGCAGAACCACTTCAGAAAGTGACAAGAAGGATGGGATAAGCATGTTTGAAGCGAGGGAAAGTATTCTGAGGGAGATTAAGGGCAAGATGTTTTCTTTTACTGTAATAAGTTTTTAAACTTAAACATTCACCATATTTTTCAATCACACCTTGTACATGGTTATTAAACAGCTCTATTGCATAGGAAAATCCAGAGAGACAGGTGCCCTGAAGAGTTAGAATGCTAGCCACATTTCCCTCTGGTCAGTTGGACTGGGATGATTCCATTCCCTTTGTATGGCTCTAATTATGTAGCGAACTGGGTTCCCTTTGTAACTCGGATTAACAACAGCAGTAGAATGCAGTGCAGAGTCCCTGAGGGGGAGTGGGTAAGGTGTGCAGGAAGTGTCCAGGGCCCCCAAGGGGAACAAATGACCTTGGCCTGAGAGATCCAGTGGCAGCAGGGATCTTGTCACGCGTCCACCAGCCAGGAGTCTTAGGACGGGGCAGGGAGCAGGCAGGCAGGCAGAATAACGAAGTCAGTGAGTGCCTGAGTAACGCTGCCCACTGACACCATCTGTGAGTGTATACGTCATCTCCCTTAATCCTCAGGACCGTGAGATTGTCCCCATTGGACAGACAAGAAACTGGAGTGCAGAGAAGTTAAGCACTTGCCAAGGAAAGGAAGGCTGGAACTTAAATCCACTCACTACATGGTCAGGGTCGTAGCACAGCGAGAGGTGTGTGTGTGTGTGTGTGTGTCTGGAGATTGAACCCAGGGTCTTCTCCCTGAGCTACATTCCCAGACTTCTTTTTATTTTTTATTTTGAGTCAGGGTCTCACTAAGTTGCTGAATTGCTCAGGCTGGGCTGGAACTTGCAATCTTCCTGCTTCAGCTTCCCCAGAGGCCCGGGATTACAGGCATGCACCACCACGCCCAGCTGGAAAGCTATCTTTTATTTCTGGAGGTTTTCAAAGTCACCATTACCTTATTGGCTCCCTTCTCTCTGCTTGCTACCTGGATACACAGAGAACAGAATGAAGTCACTGCCGTGGACTGAGAGGCCGGTCACAGCAGCCGGGAATGTGGACACCACAAATCTCTACGGAGCACGCCGTGCAGGGGCTTCCACAGCCCATGTCGGTGTGGTTCTCACAAACTCCGTGTCGGGTGCACATCGACACTTGGCCTTCCGGTGTCTGTCGTGTCTCCCTTCCCGGTCTGTCATACTCTAAGTTTGTGAGAGCAGGGAGCTTGCAGACCTCCTGTCACCAGCACCCAGGACTTTGTCCCCTGTCTCACTGGTTGGGGAACACCAATGACCTGGCCCATTTGTCAGTAAAGGAAATCAGACTGGGAGAATTAAGCAACTTGCCCAAGGTCCCGCAGCAGAGAAGTCTTGGTGCTGGGGCTCCAGGTTAGATTGTGACCCCAGGAACCTTGGGGAGAGCCCTCTTTCAAGGCACACGTGTCACTCGTGGCCACCTGGGAGCTGTGGCCATGGTCAAGCTGTGGGGGCGGTGGGGCAGGGTGGGCCAGCTGGGCCACAAGAGGACAGACCACTTAGGAGGCCAGAGTCTCTGGCAGTAGAGCATAGGGCAGCAGCCATGGGCGTGGACTGTGGGCCAGGTACCCCACAGTTCTGGCCCTGTGTAGTAACCACACGACCCTGGGCAAGTGAGTCTTGCTGAGCCTCAGTTTCTCATTTGTAAAATGGGGGCAATAGCTCATGGCTGTCATAAGAACGAACTGAATACTTTTTGAGTACGTGGAGTGGCAACTGGTGATAATGGCTGTTGTGGAGGAGGCTAATAAACAGCACCAAGTGGGTAAATATTTACAGGATGGCATGTCCCTGCATGAGACCAGCCACCTGTGCTGTGCCAGTCACAGAGTGAGTACGTGTGTGCCAGGCCAGGGCCGCCATGAGCCAGGTGCCTGCAGTAGACCTTGGTGGGCCAAGGACACCCCCAAATGCCAAATTATGGTCTTGCTCATAATTTTTAGGCTGGAAGCAGTGATGCTTTCTCTGTTGGTGTCACCAGGGCCCTCTCAGGGGCTGCTGTGAGCAGGGAGGACTGCTGGGAGTGCCTGGTGGGAGGCAGGGCTCTGGACTTCAGCACTGGTACCACCTCGAGCTGATCATTCCTTGCAGCAGGTGAAGCACTTATCCCATAGGAGCCATGTAGACTTGCTCTCACTGTCTCATGAAGTCGAAGAATGAAATCACAGACAAAAGGAGGGAGTTAGGAGAGTGTCTATGGGAAATAAGAAGGAAAAACCTCCTGACATACAGGAGGGGACTCCTTTCCTTCTGAGGTGCTTTCCATTTTGGTTTCACATAGATAAGCAGAACACAGAAACTTGTTTTAAACATGTGGCTTTGTGAGTTTACAATAACCAGTTGGACTTTAGGCTTTGTAATGTAGAGTCTAAAGAAAATCAGTAACTCATCTGGTCTAAGTTCAAAGGAAGCCAGCTACCCTGAATTTCTAAGTTCCTTCAAGTCCAGCCCAGAGGCATGGAGGAGTTGCCAACTAACTTAAGAAGCTTCTTCCTGGAGGAAGGCTCATCTGCCCATCCTCATCCTAACTTTCTATCCTTTCTCCTGTGTTTCCTCTTGTATTTTTAAGCTAACTGCCTGCATGGCTTTAATTGGCTCTTAACTTCGTGTATGTGCTATTTTCTTTGAATCCAGCTGACTGTATTTTGGGTCCCGCCCCTTTTCCATGGGGAGGAATGTCCTGTGACTCATGAGATGTT